TTTTAGGCGGTTTATGGAGGAATCGGTGAAGAAATTCACTCCTTTATTCCTTCCTTAAAAAAAAAAAAAAATGTTGACAGTGCTTTAAAAATATGTTGAAAATTTAAAGCAGCATCATTGCCTTATATGAGACAATTACAAAGTTTAGTGTTCAAAAAGCTGCTGTATTTCATGTGCTATGTAAAACAAAACAACATGATGCTTTAATTATGAAAATATTTAAACTAAGCAAAGTTTTTCATTGCTCAAGTATTCTTCTGCTCCAAAAATTTGTTTCCTACCTGAATTTGAGTGTAATCCTCTGTTTTCAACACAAAATTATTTCCAACAAAATTGGTTTTGATATCACAGACAGAAGATGTTAATTGCAGGTGGGGAATAAACAGATTACACTTGAGATGGGAGGCAAAGAAATATAAAACAGTAGGAATATTTTTTAAAAAGTTAGCTTTTCTAAAGCTTTTTATGTAGTAGAAACTGTCCTTCAAAGAAGTTTTCACAGAATGACAGAGTGGTAGGGGTTGGAAGGGACCTCTGGAGATCATCTAGTCCAACGCCCCCGCCACAGCAGGGGCCCCTACAGCAGGTTGCACAGGACGGCGTCCAGGTGGGTTCTGAATGTCTCCGGAGTCGGAGATTCCACCACCTCTCTGGGCAGCCTGTGCCAGTGCTCTGCCACCCTCAGAGTAAAGAAGTTCCCTCCTTAAGCATACTTTAGTTATATGCACATATGACTTGTTTGATTCAATTGAAATCAGGTTTTACATGAGCCCATTTGGTCACAGGAATATTAGCTTGATATTGTAGGGGAAATATCTTCGTTCTTGAGAGGAGTTTGGCAAAAGCCTTAGTTGTATTTCTAGCTATTCTTGAACAGCTGGTTCACTTTCCTTCAAGAGTCAACAGGAAAAGTCTCATCTGTGTGTTTTTAACTGTTTTTTGGACCAAGATACAAACTTATATCTGAGTTCTAAAGAAGATTTAGTTATGCAAAAAATGTGGGGTTTTCCCCCTGTATCTCTTGAAAATGGCAGCCTTTACAGTGCAATGTGAAAAACTCTGCCCTAATAAGAAACCATAATTCCAGTTGGCAAGTTACCATGATCATGTATTAATGTTCATGCACCTAGCATTCATGTTTTGGTAAAGCAGTATGTAAATCGCATTCTATTAGCAAGTTTCCTGCATAACACAGTAGTATCCTATTATGGATTCATCAGCTATGGTATGAAATTCTCATTGCAATCACTGACATTGGTAAAAAAGGTTCAAATTGATCATTTTTATGGGTAGCTGACTGCGTTCTCCAGTTGTACAGGGTCTATTTACATTGACATCATCTCAAATTAGTCTCTCTCATTCTTCTTTCTCTACCTGGTCTTAAGTTTCTGTATGACCCAGTGCTTTCTGATGATTCAATTTGAGCCTCAAACACAGCACCTCCAGTGCTGGGAAACTCTATACAGGACTTGCTTCCTTTCTGTTCTGGGCGTGTGAAACCTATGCAGTAACTCACATTCCCCATGACACACAAAGACTCAGACCTGCTGGCTCTTAATTTGCTGGCGTGGTGACCCTTAGCAGAGCACTGTTCCAGGACAGACAGGCACATGTCAGCTTACACCAGGAAGGGCAGCATTTTGTCATACTCATTCCTTCCCCAGTACTGTACCAGGATATACTCCTGAAAGACTCACAATCACAGAAGAGAGCATATGCCTCTTGTTTAAGTAGTGTAGATGAAAACTTCACAATAATCAGGTGAGCTTAGCTGTACCTGGTTGCTTGAAATTCTTCTGGAAACACATTTTGGTTACCATGATTCATACTCAAAGAACAATTTTATGGATAGTGCGTTGTACTAGTAAATATTGTTCTGGTCTTTTCCCAGTAACAGAACAGACTTTTTTCAGCAGCCAGCCATTTAGAACACAATAACTAAAAGATTAGTCAAAGCATGGGAGGGTAATAACAGTATTACAGATATCTTTATTTCTTTTGCACAAAGCACCCATACTACACAGTTATGCTATGAAGAAATCCAGTTCTTTGTTAATGACAGCTTTATTGAAGGCAGGCTTTCAGAATGAATATACTAGAAATCCTATTAAAGTGCCATCCATTAAACCATTAAAGCACTCATTAAAACTGTTAGTACAGGCTTGTTATTCATGAGTTATTGGTCTTTCACACTTCTGAAATGTGTCTGCCAATACCACTCTACTCTTTGTTCCAGTGTGGCTATTAAGTCTGAGGAAATATAGATTAACTTTCTTTTGCCAAAAGAGTGCTTTTTAGGAGGATACTAAGGCCACAAAGTGGTTCAGATTGGTGAGAAAAACAGGAAAGATTAAAGTTCAGTCCATTTGCCTAGTTTTGACATAATTTATGTTAACTATGTCTGCATGCAGGCCTAAATATTAATCACTGAATTACACCATCTGGCCATACATCATACAGAGAAGTGAATGGGGAATATAGTATGCTGCTGTGATGAACATATCCTCATCTACTTCTACAAGTAGCTGACAGAGAAAGCTGCTGTTTGATTTTTTCCTTGGTATTGAAAAGCAGGTTTAGGTCACTTAATCAGTAAGGAGTGAAAAGGGGAAGAATAATACTGAACAGCTGAAGCTAAGCTTTAAACATAAAGTATTCTTAATAAACTATAAATTCACATAACAGTAGGTCTAATATAGAGCTGAAGCACTTTCTCGTAATAGGTAAGGATCTATTTAGACCATAATTTTCTAAGTGCAACTGTATATGCAGAAATGCACCTTAAAGTTTATGTTTGCAAATAGTTGTAATTATGAATAGATAATCTATGGGGTTTTTTTAATGTTTATACATCTTTTTTTATTTTTGATATGGTGAAGCCTGAGTCCTGCTGTCCAGGCCCAAAGCTAGCATCATGTTAGTCAGCCAGTTTATTCTGTTATTTTCTAGTTTTCTTGTCAAGTGTGAAGAGAAAGTGTGTGTGACATATTATATTATGAAGTCATTTCCAGAATATTTGGCTACTGTAGGTAAAAACCTAAAAGATCAGGCAGAGTGTCTCCTTCAGTTATATATCTAGAGCAGTGCTGTACAGTGTTTGCCTCATTTTGTGGCAGTAAGCTGCTCTTGAGCTAGCATGTATGCATATATGCCTCTCAAAAAATTCTAACTGGGTAGTCACAGATAGTGTAGATGTGCTTTATTCCAGGTCAAATAATTGATTTTATTTCAACATTTCTTTAGAATATAAAGCACGAATATATTGAGAGCATCTTCTGCTTATTTTGAAATTACTATGTTCATGTTCTAAATTATTACTAGAATTCTGAGCTAAACCAATACTGATGACTTTCTAAAATACTGAAAAGCCGACCTGCAGGCATCCTGCACAAGTTTTCTTAGTCACCTCCATTCACTCAAAAAAGGCAAAGAGGGAAGATTCTGGCTGAGAGATGTCTTTATGTAAATTTGATTGCTTTTCATGTCATACAATGTAGATGAATTGCTGGTCAGCAGATAAAGAGATATATTAACATGTCTTAAATATACTATATATGCATATAACTCTTCTTTTCCCACTGCTGATGGAAATGTGGTCCAAATTCTTTCTCTTCACCTTGGATGAAATAAATAGCACTTAGCAGTAAAGATAAGAATATTTACGTTTTTAAATGAATCAATGCTTACCTGCTTCAAAGTTCTATCAGGCATCCATCTCAGAGGATGGGAAAACATTACTGTGATGAAACTAAATTCTAAGAAAAAGGAATAAAAAATGATGACTATGATGAAATGAGGAATTTCACTATGTAGTCAGAAAAGGTAATGTTTTGGTTGGAGAAGAACCAAGCCCTAATACTGAAAGGATCAGGTTGCTATGTTTATACTCAAGCACACCACAGAAGCCATGTCTACTTTTGCAAGTGGTGGAATACTGATTGGGTATTACGGCAACCTGGCATAGGGGGCTGCTGATTGTTACCAGGATTAAGCAAAGGGCATGAGCCACAAACCATAGTTGCATGTATGTGTTGATGAAACAATTTCAGGTCTCTACTGTTACAGAAAGGGAAAGTAAAACAATACATGATTAATTGTGACTTCTCAGTACGAGATCACCTTTCATACAGCCACTGCCACAATGGGCATAAGCAAGTACCATCTGCTATGTATTTTTTGTTTACCCAGCTGTATGTGTACCTCAACCATAGAGGTAAAAGTAAGTGGCAGAGCCTGGAGTCTTCCTACTGGTGAAGGATGGAGTGCGGGACAAGCTTCATCCTGGAACATGAAGGAAGCAGGAAATAAACAGTGATTCTAGGTTATGTTTGTAAATACATATAGTTATGTATGTAAATAAAAGATCATTAACTTTTCAAATATGCCTAAATTGCTTTCTTATTTATGACTCAAGGAAATAAAAATCAAGTCTCTTTATGTTGTCCCTGGATGACATGCAGTTGGTTCCCTGAGCAACACTGGCATCAAAATGAAAACACAGAAGCAACGTTGTTTTTCTTCTGGAAAACTTCTCCAGGAACATTTGGAGCTTATTTAGTAAACAGGACACTGAATTGTTTGAACATGTGCACTTAGTAATAGAGAAAGACAAAAATATTTATTCCCTTCCATCCCAGTGTTTTTGAGATTTCTGACTTTTTTTTTCATTCTCTGTTATGCCAGAACCCCTCCCTTGCCAAACTGAGGGAGAAGATAAAAGATGGATAGCATACCCTTGCCTTTCTGAAGAGAAAGCCTTGGATTTGAAAAGCTTATGGTTCAAATTCCTGACAGAAATTTCACATGCATAAAGACAAAATGCTTCATATAATATATTATAATATCTTAAAATGTGTCCCAAAGTCATAATTTTCTTTCAAAAGCAAAATATTTCCAGAGTAAACTGTGGGAGTGTATGGTTTGGAATCATTATAAATACAACAAGTGCATAGGCCTTAGCTAAAAGTTTCCTTCTCTTTTCTTCTCTTTTTCTTTTGAAGTCTATTGATCCCGGTCAGCAGTTCACATGGGAACACTCTAACCTGGAAGTAAACAAACCAAAGAATAGATACGCGAATGTAATTGCATATGACCATTCTCGTGTTCTACTCTCAGCAATAGAAGGTAAGGAGACTTTTAAATTTAAACTAATTAAATCCTAAAATCCAGTATAATTTTATCTCCTGATATCTTTGTGTATTAATATAAAGAAACGCTAATTGAAGTACTTCCAATAACTTCCTATAATGACAATCCTTGTGTGATATTCATTCTCAGTAACTCATTATGAAAATGCACTAAAATTGACACAGGGTCACATAAAGCACTCAATGTATTGGTCTCTGTGTATATACCAATGTGTTACCTAAAGTAAATCATCATTGCTGTTTACTTACATTAATTCTGCAAAGCAAATATAGCAGTAACCGTGCATGAATTGAGGGGGTTTTGATCAATGACATTGTCAACATATGTAATTACTGAGTTTCAGTTGCCAAATCCTTGATGTGGGGGAGTTCTCAGGGAGAATTTTGAGAACTCTCTGTTAAGACTTCCATTTTTTTCTTGTCCATTTACAATCTGAATGTTAAACAAGAATGTTTAAACAAATGCCCACATGCAGACATTGTTGGAACCTCAGTATTTCACTGCCAAAAGATTGGCAGAGGGCTATAACGAGAGCTCTGCATTTTATCATTCTCTGTCAAAAAGCTTTCAAAAAAACTTGAATATTTTAGAGTTTTAACTTAAGGAAACTGTACAAGGTGATCAACCTCGGGTATTGTGTCTGTTTTACCAAGTGCTAAAGCTGTGGGAAGTTCTGGTTTTCACTCAGAGATTTCTTTTCTTAGCAGTTCTGCCTTACCATTAACCCGCTTCCTGGGATGAAGACAGATTTTCAGTTTATTCTGTTTGTTGACAGTCAGGCATTAATGATGCCCACAATGTAACTGATTATATATTTAAGAGAAACAATTTAAATAAAAAAAAAATTTCCTTTATTAACTCTGACAGGACTTGCATATGATACATAAGATGTAGGGAACTGTATTCAAGGCCATAATTATTTCATTCCTAACATGCTCCAAGTTAAACTGCAAGGTGTTTTAATTTACAGTTATAAACAGCTTCTTATCTTTGGCTACTCCAGACCTGAAGACACTGGATACTGGAGGGACTATATTTATAGGTGTAATCCATTTTAATATTAGCTGCTTGGTGAAGAAAAAGGCAATCTGACTGACTGAAGTTTAGATCTTTACTTATTTATTGCAGCTGCACACTATGGGCTTTGATAACACAGATAAGAGCTCCTCAAATGTATTAGAAAATTTAAATGATTGCCTTGGAAAATTTGCATATGATAATCTGCTTATGTTTGTACCACCTCTGAGTCTCATATAGCAGTTCTGACAAGATTTTTTGTAACATCATTTAGAATTTTTCACATTGCCTTGTAGAAGAATATAGCTGTATAGAAACTTGCTGCTACCTGTCTCAACACAGAAGAGAGGGTATTTTAATGAGCATTATATGTGATGTAATTCAAGAAAAATATCCCTTTCTGTGTCACTCATCCAGACAAGAGAACTAAGTACATGGTCAGGAAAGGCCAAGAACAGTGATTGGACAGCCATTCTGAATTGTTAAGTAAAGTTCTTTGGAACAAAATGTTTAACGCAGAAATAAGTCTATTTGACATAAGACTCAAGGTTTTCACAGGATTTTGTTTGGAAAAAGAGTTGTGTAATGAGGACAAGATGGGGAGGAAAAAATATAATCGCAAATAAATATATTTGTTAATTTATAAGTCAGATATCTGGCCTTAAAAAGTTCTGCCAGGTTCCCTTTCATGTAAATGACCCATGAAATTTTGTTCCCTTAAAGAAAATGAACATATTCAGAGAAGGGGAAGAAAATTTAAGAGACAAAACAGAAAAAGTTAGTCAAATTAATTAAAAATACCAAATTACACAGTATATTAGACTACCTTTTAAATAATAAACAGTAAAAATATGAAGAAGATCTACATTGTAACTGTAGGAAAGGACTGAGTATTTTAAGGAGCAGGGAGAGCATACAGTTAAACTGTAAAGTTTGATTCCCTTTTTTAAGTAAGAAATACCACAGTAAGGCTAAATTTTCTAACCCTATAATAGCCAGTGACCCTAACCAAAGAAAAATACTATAAATCTTTGAAATATCAGTCTTAGATGTAAAACCATAAATGGGGTTTTGACCCATTTGGTGATTTGCATAATTTTAAGTCTCAGTCTTCAGTTTATGGTGCAAAAAGCAAGACAAATCAAATATTAAATGCCTTTTTATGCTATGAGAATTTGTTTTGAAAACAGTAATAAATTATTTAATTATCCTTTTAAATTCCCCCACCCCCCCAGGATTTTACACGATTGCCATTGTGAAATTCAGTGTGCGTACCTTCCTAAGTTTAATACACTGGTCTTAGCATTTGGTAATAAGTGCTTCTTTTTCAAGTTTTAAGTAAATATTCCTACAGTGAAAATACTCAGTTAGCTTAGCATCTTAATTAGTTGACAGTGCCATTTGTTTCCATGCTACCAGAGAAATCAATACTTTCAGTATTTTTAAAAAGAAAATAATTCCCCTTTACCTTTGTTACTATACAAGTTGATCAGGACCTAAATTTAGACTACATTACATTGTGTTACAACTATATGGAGACTATGTGGTTGGATTTAGGCCTTATCTGCAATTCTTTGGTGGCCATAAGAATACTAATATTATCAGTGAGGTTTGAATAATAGCTGTGGTCTTTCTAAGATTGAGAGCTCCATTCTACACCTAAACACCTGGTCCCTGTTTAAGAGCCAATATAAATGAACAAGAAACTAAGCATCTGCCAAACTGTAATCCTATGCTGATGGTCACTTTGCCTCTTGATAGTGTTGCAAAAATGCAGAATACTATAATTGCTACTCTAGAATGGGGCACGAGACTGGTTTTTTTCAGTTGCCTGTCTCTGGCTGTAGCCAATATGAAGTGATTAACAGAAAGTCGTAAGAAGTAGAGATCTGAAATGACTTCTTTCCACCCATTGATAGTATCAAGTTGTTAAAAATTAGATTAGCCCTGAAACAAAAGGCTTAGTAATGCTTTCAAAGTGTTTATTTTGGTGCCTTTTATAACTCGTTGCACATGTTCAAGCCTGGTTTTGAATCTCCGCTATGTTCTTGGCCACTGTAGTTGCATATAGCATGGAGTTCCACAACATAATTGCTCACTTTGCAAGAATACTTTTTTATATTATTAAACTCAACACTGTTTGAATTATATTACATTAGATGTCCCTTTGGAAGAAAAACTCAGATTAGTTGTGGTAATTTGAATTGCCACCTGAAAGAAAATATTACTTTGGAAAATTTTGTTCCTATGTTCTTGAAATCTCATCGCTCATGTTGCGCTGTCTTCGGATGTGTCTGAGAGGGACATTTGGAATTTTACAGTATAATGAAAGAATGTTATAACATAGTGAAGTTTATTGTATGCATCTAAATGGATTTTAGGGCAGAATTTACTGATTAAAAGAGAAACAGATCAAGTTGAAATAGGTAGGTCTGTGATCTTAAACCTCTAAGGAGTTTAATAAAATACTGGGAAAAAAATGATTTAAACATTCTGCATTTTAAAAAGTCTTGCCAGTTCTTTTAGGAGACATCCAAGACTAAAGTCTGCCAAATGTGGCATGGATTTGCATAACACCAGTTAGTGATTAAAAAAAAATTGAAAAATAATATGTATGATGTTTCAGCAGCGTAATTTTTTTTTATGGGAAATTTAGTGGCTTTAAAATGCTGCTACAGCCAGAAGTCTCTGACTGTAATATAAATGGTCAAGAAAGGAAATGGCAAGAAACTGCTAATATTCTTATTTGTCTGATTGCCAGTTATTGATAAATTATCATTGAGTATGTAGGCCATCATCTTTAGATTTAGAATGTGTTCTGGTCAAGATAAATTCTTGAACATCTACTGAACAGTCATGGACTGTACAAATTATTTGCACTCTTTCACAGTGTATTTGTGTTGCATTCTGCTAACAATATATAATTACACATTTAGAATAATTGTATGCCCCTTCCCCCTGCAAGTCTGGAGTGCCTTAAAAGCAAAAAAAGTATTTCAGTGATGAAGTAATGGGATACAGAAAGATCAGTGAAGTAAACTTCATGGTGTAAAAGTCCCTATGAAGTAGACTTCATAGAGTAGACTTCATGGTGGCTGTCTCAACAACAATGCCAAGATAAGTTGTAGGGCTATAATTATTTTGACTTATGAATCAATTTATGCTGTTATAGTTGTAACTTAACAACAAAAATGGTGTCATTCTTGATACCCTTGAAATCAGCTCAAAACAATTCTGACTTTTTCCTCTATGCGTACCCACACTGTCAATTAGGGAAAGCTTCAGCAAAAAGTCCAGTGGCTTTGTTCTTGAAAGGGTAATGAAGATTTGGCACCTCACAGTTTACTGTGCACATTCATATTGAAACTGTTTTTTTTCAGGATTTGTCATAGAATCATAGAATCAGAATGGTTTGGGTTGGAAGAGACCTTAAAGGTCATCTAGTTCCAACCCCCCTACCATGGGCAGGAACAACTTCCACTAGACCAGGTTGGTCAAAGCCCCATCCAGTGTGGCCTTGAACACTTCCAGGGATTAATAAATTATTGATTATTGAAATATCAGACTCATCGGTGCTCATCAGCCCTTTTAGTGCATCATTCAGAGGTATAAATGAATATTTCTATCAAAAAAAAAAAAAAAAAAAGACTGCTAGGATATATAACTTTGGTGTTACTCAGTCTTAAAGAGTTGGAGAATCACCAAATCAAGTTTCAGACAGCTCTAAAGTAATCACAGTATGATAACTTCATGCTGGATTTCAATATCTGCTTTGCACTATCATGCAACATACTGCTATCTCAATATATTGTGGCCATTGTGCTGGCACAATGCTGTTATTTGTCTCTCTGAGGAACTGCACCGAACAATCTGTTTACTTTCATTCTGTACCCTGTCTTAATACTAGTCAACTATTAAAACAAAATGAAACAAAACAAATCCAAGCTTCCTTTCATTTT